ATAGCCATTTCAGCCCCACTGGCAGCAGAGCAGTATGAATATAATTTCAATAAATTGAATTTCAATATGTCATATCCCACCCGCATAAACATTACATAAGATGGTATAAAACCCGATATTCTGTAAGCCTCCCTGCTGGCACTCCTCCAGAGCTACAGTATCAATGCTGGATCACACTCAAAACCATAAAAATCTATAATATGCCTCAGCACTAAGAAAAGGGGAAAGTACATGTGGTGAATTTTCATTTAAACGTATTTTAAATTAATTTTAACCTATGATCTTTTACTGCATGTTGCAAGAGAAAGCTCTCAGCAGAAACAGTGGCACTACTGTGTAAAGATTCAAGAGCTAGAGCTCCATCCATCCCTGTGGTAGCATGAAAAACCATGGCAATAAGGTTGGACATATCATCAGAAATTGCTCTAGGAAGGGGAAAACAGGACAGGGCCTCCACATGAAAACATCTAGAAATAAACTGGAAGAGATGCAAAAAAAGGGTCCCTATCAAGTCTGTGCTTGTATCTGCTCTGCGCATTTTAGATTGCTATCCCACCCCATCCAGCTGCCCTGAAGCATGCAAACTCCATTTGGAGTCAAAGAAAGTTATTGCTCAATAAAACTTGAAGGGAAATTAAGGGGAAGGATGGGGTAATGCTGAGAGACCAAAAGAGTGATTGTAGGACCGCACAGCATCTAGCAGGTTGGAAACCTTCAGCTCTCACTAAGTTCTTTGAGGCTCCACAGTAAATATACATTCTTATCCAAAGGATTAAAGGGGAATCAGATAGAGATGTGCAGCTCAGTCCTGCAGATGAGATTCTAATCTGATCCCGGTAGCAAAATGTCTCCACATGCCAAAACACCTTGTTTGGAGGTTTGATTTTCCACAGTTTGGCTAGTGTTGCTTGCTTGGCTAAAATTTGCAGAAGTAGGAACAGCAGCCTCACAATCTAAATAAAAGATCCACAGCCACATAGCCAGGAAAAAAAGCCAATGTCTAAGAAACTGAAAATGAATATCCATGTGCCATATTAGTTTGCCACCTCCTGGAAACTAATCAAATAAATAATAACTGCCCAAAACTTGGTATTTCCCACTGGTTATTTTATGAGTCATACTTCAGCTGAGTTACAAGCTACAGTATAGCATGTACACATATACCTGATTCCATTCATTTGCCCCAAACGTGGTCAGTTCTGGACTGCCGTATTGCATACAACAGCTTATTGCATGAAATGCTCAAAACTAACAGTCAAAGCTGCGAGAAGGTTCTGTTGAAACAGGTTATCATTAAACAGACTGGAATATGGCCAGCTCACTCTGTGTGTCACTGACTTGTTACAACACAAATAGTCAGGTTTTGGGTTTTCAGTTACATTTAGAAAAGAACAGGCAAAGAAATAGCACTGATATTGCTGAGTTAGTGCTTGCTTAGTGGTTAGATTCTGCACTGTCCAGCCCAACTGACCAGACACATCTCCTCTCTGTGAAGCCCACTCCTCATACCAAATGCTGAGACCATTTGCCTTACGAAGCCTCAAACTCACAGCTTCACTGTGGCTATCAAACACTGTAGCTCAACTGGTGTTTATTTGGGTGCATCAATCCTCTTTTAAATGTGAACTGCAACTGTAAATGAACAGATTTTAGTATCTAGTAAACTCTCTCCTTAATTTGCTACACTTGCAGAAACTAAACTTGGAGGAAACAGGTGTTACTTTTGGGCCGTACAAACCTGTACAACAGCCAGAGGGAAAGCAAGTGGTAAGAGGTATTCCTCAAATACTCTATAATGTGAAAAGGGATTTGTCTATGTTTCGTTTGTCTGTAAAATCTGTTTTTTTGTCTCTGTATCCCCTTGGCAATAATTCTTAAAGTAAATGTTCCCTTTTACTGAACTCATACTTCAATTGCAAATGGCAGCAGAAAGGCTTGGGCTGAGTCTTCAGATAGTTTTGGTGCTTTGATGCTGTTTAAAGGGTGACAATACCTTCAGGCATCAAGAATATTTAAGTCTTGCTGTCATAGGCTACATTTTAAAAATGTGTAAGCAAGGAAAAGGCTGAAAAAAAAATCTGGCATTGAATCAAAGGTTGTAAGAGATTTTAACAAAAACGAACATGTGAATACTCAATGAAAGCATAATAGAATGATCACTCACAAAACAGGGTTATAGCTAATATATGCCAGAATTTTAATGTTGGTGTCATATATTACCAACTGGTAATATCAACCATTTGTTCAGTTCTACAAATATATTCCAGAAGGATGCTTACTTTGACTACTATTTTTAGTCTTGTAGAGAACACAAGGCTGTTAAGAATGGATTATTAATACAAAAATATTAAGAAAAGCTTTCTTCTGCCTGCTGTTAAAACCAGCAAAAGCTATGTTATTGCACTCTCATTCCAGAAAGAAAACACACAGCAAGAATATGTCTAAGTCTGGGGATTTGTGAATATAGCTCCACACCATGGCATTAGGACCTGGGGACAAAAAGGTCATTAGTTACTTACCTTGTTGGAAAAAGATAGGAAAGAGTAAAGAACAGGGGGAAAAAACAGAAGGAAAAAGACAGCAACAAAAATATACACAGGACAGAGGACACAAAGCCAAAACACTGATTGCTGGCTAAAACTCTTCTGCATAAGAATTAAGCTAACCTGACCTAATGTATTTAACACAACAGTTAATTAGTAATCATTACTAAAAACACAAGCTCAGGGAGACACAAGGTATCTCACACTTTTTGGCAAGTATTCTGCAGTTTTCTGACAATACTCCATCACAGACTGTATGTTGTGAAAGGTAATATGTGGCCTGAATTACTCTAATCTTGTTGAAAATTTAAGAAAATATTTCTGTCTTACTTTAATCCACTTTTTTACAACAAAATTAAAATTATCAACTTCAAATGTTCTTCATTCACATTAACTCTGAAATAAACTTCTTTTGTGGCTGTATTTTCCTTCATTAGGTGAATTTTTAAAATGGAAATGGATATCTATAAAAAGAATACAAAATAAAAACATATATTTTTAGGAGCTAAAAAACCCCAAAACAGATGACTTATGAGAAGAAATCCCTTTAGGTCAT